GTGAAACAAAAAATGTACGTGTTCATGGTTGCAAACTCTTTCAGACTCTCACGCAAGAAATCTTACGGCAAATCTATATTCCATTCTGAACTTAAAATTAACTGCATCAAAAACGTTACGGCAGTTTGCAAACCCTAGTGGCTGCCCTTCGCGGACAACTTACTCTATAAAGAGCAAGTTGAGGGAGGCGTAAAAACAATTTCCCCACGGGGATCAATAAAGTATCAATTATTAATATTATTAAAACTTACATATATGTTAATCTGTGTGCAGAACAGAGAACAGAAAATCTCACTCCATGCAGCTGACCAAAATTGCCAACCCTGCATTTTATTTTAAATGAGAAGTAAAATTCAGTTTTCGACTGAAGCGCTAGCTTATCATTCCTTTGCTTTGTTACTCGGACAAATACAAAACGAATGATTAAACATTATATTGTTCTGTCATAAAATACTATCTATCGAGACGTGCTATCGAGCCTAAATTTCTGCGCATGTGCAGTTTCACCGTTGGACCGTTGTTCCACAGAACAATATGCGTCTCTTTTTGTATGTTTTCTAAACAAGACCGCGTGCCCATACCCAACTGTAATAGCGATTAAAGCGATCTATTCTTTTAGTATTTATGTTAAAGCAAGACTTTTATTTTATTACTGTTGTGGGATTAATCTTTCGAAACACTTAAATTTAATAAGCATAGAAACATATGACATAAACACGACTGTATTGTGGGTTTTACGGTTTTTTTGGAGGTCACCGACTCCGCTGCTGTGAGAATTACTAACTCTCTCATTGTTGTTTTGATAGGTTAACGGTATACTAATGCTATTGCCTATTAACAAAAACCAAAGGTATGATACGCTTAAGTATATTGCAGATGGTGTTTAAAAGGAGCTCGCCGGTTCTATTGATGATAGGACCTTTCTGAAACAATCTCGGACCATGAAATAGGAAGACAATTCACTTATAGCTCAGTAGCGGAATCAGTATTTTTCCGCACCACGAATGTAACATTTTCCTTGGGTTTCACATCTTTGCTGTTTGTGGGCCTATACGCCTTCTTGGGCCACTTCTGATTGGTGATCATGACTGGCATGCGAGAAGCACGGCGCTTGTGACATATAATGTATATCCTAAATCACGATTTTTGCGACTTGCTAATGGCGTTGTTTCAAATCGCGATTTCGATTTGAAATCAATAAATCGTCCAGCCCTAGTAGTAATGTTAAGCACTTAACCAGCAATTCTACCCTTACAAGAAACACTGCTTGAAGCATTATAATAATAATAATAATAATTTAATTAAGGTATGTAAAATACTGTACACGTAAAAGAAACTGACTCACTATAGCAAAAGTTTTTTTTTAGTTTAATAGTTAAGTTTAAAAAATTGAGTACGAATGAACATTAACCACTTTGGTCAATAACTGTACTTATGAACTCAGATTGCACCAAATACAAACACATGATAGATAAATAAAATTGGTTGTTGCCACCATTTGTACAAGTGGTATCTTTGCTTAGTTTGCAAATGACAGTAGACTGGTTCAGGCCAGATTTTGCAAATGGAAATCATTTCCACACAATCAAGAAAGAACAATTTTAGAATCAGGTCTTCCTCATCAGCCATGCTGCACACTGTTAACTCGACAGCATAGCCTAGCTATCTATGGACCGTGTTGTTTAGCTCGTGGCATGAGTGCAATATTTTTAGCAGTCTGATGGTATACAGTTTTTTTAAACTTAGATATGTGGTTTAAAAAAGGATCAAATAAATTTCAAGTTCTAGACACACTGACCTGGATAACTGATCGATAAGTAACATATAACACTGAACACACTGGTCTGTTTTTGTTATAGTGTTGTTACAGCCTATGAACACGCAGGCATTTACAGGATAGGTAGTTACCGCTTTGTTCTGTCATTATACTACAGTTTTTCTTGATTGCTTTGGCACATTTCATGAAACATATTTCATATTCACAAAACAATAAGAGCATTTCTCAAAACAGTTAATGCATATAGCATAACACTATGGTTTAGCTGCAATAGTCTGTAACTTGCCTAAAGCAATTAACTCATGTATCAAAAGCAAATAATTCCACCAATGAATTAGTCAGTGCCACCAAAATGAAAAGTACAATCAACATAATTTTAATCAAGAGAGTCAAAATGCCAGTGTAAGTATGGTCCTGAGCTCCACAATTCTGAATGTAGCATAGGTTTCCACTTTCTGATTGTCACTAACTGATCATTTGTCTATAGCAAACTGTTACTTATTTATGTCAAAGACACCAGTTTAAACATTGCAAGTCTCTACATTACAGTATGTAAAGTCCACTGGCAAGAAAAAGTACTCTCCTGTACATGCAAACTTTTTCAAGTTCTCAAGACAGTACAATAGTAAACATAAAACAGCAAAAGGCAACATAAGAACAAAATAACAAACAAAAATACAACAATGCTGTATCACTTCAATTTATGGAATATATCCTTTTGACAGCATGGTGGCTAACACGATGATCACATACATATATAGTTTTATTACAATGGGAAACTACGTAATCTACCTTGATCAAAACAACTGAAAATTGTGCCAAATGATGACAATGGTACTTAACTATTTGCATATGCAAACTAAAACATTTGGAAATTTGTGTGAAACAATGAGAAATGATGTTCTGCTGTGCAAAAGTGACATTATGGTGTGGTGATTACACTTGTTGTTTTGCAAATGTTAATTGCCATTTGGGAAATGCTCCAAAGCAATCAAGAAAAACTGTAGTAATATTATCGTGCATTTGTAACTGGCCATTCATTGGAAGCTAAGCCTAGTTGCACTTATGCCTACAAGTGCTTTGCAACAGTATTTATCCCCCTTGATGTTTGTCCTGTTTTGTCACGTTACAAGCTGGAATTAAAATGAATTTTTAGGGGTTAGAACCATTTGATTTACACAACATGCCTACCACTTTAAAGGTGCAAAATATTTTTTTATCATCACACAAACAATAATTAAGATGAAGAAACAGAAATCTTGAGTGTGCATAGGTATTCACTCCCTTTGCTTTGAAACCTCTAAATAAGAGCTGGTCCTACCAAATAACTTCATAAGTCGAGATTAGTTTATTAAGATCCACCTGTGTGCAATTAAAGTGTCACACGGTCTGTCACTAGAGGTCTGTATAAATCAAGCTGTTCTAAAAGAACCTTGACTCTGCAACACTACTTAGCAAGCAACCTTCAGTCCAAGAAGCATTCCAAACAGGCCAGAGACAAAGTTGTGGAGAAGTATAGATCCATTATAGGAAATGGAAAGATTATTGCACCACCACAAATGTGACAAGAGAAGGCTGCCCACCACAACTAGGCAAGGAGGGCATTAATCAGAGATGCAACAAAGAGACCAAAAATAAAACCGAAGAAGCTGCAAAGATCCACAGTGGAAATGGGAGTATCTGTCCATAGGACCATTTTAAGCCATACATTCTACAGAGTGGGGCTTTGTGGAAGAGTGGCCAGAAAAAAAGCCATCCCTTAAAGGAAAAAAATAAATAAAACCCACTTGGAGTTTGCCCAACAGCATGTGACAGACTCCCCAAACACATGGAAGAAGATTCTCTGGTCAGATGAGACCAAAATTTAACTTTTTGGCCATCATGGGGAAACACCATATGTGGCACAAACCTAACACTTCCCATCACCCTAGGTACACCATTCCCACAGTGAAGCATAGTGGTGGTAGTGTCATGCTGTATGGATGTTTTTCCTTTGCAGGGACAGGAAAGCTGGTCAGGATTGAAGGAAAGATGGATGGCACTAAATACAGGGCAACTCTTTAGGAAAACCTGAGTCAGCTAGAGATTTGAGACTGTGACGAAGGTTCACATTCTAGCAGGACAATGACCCTAAACATACTGCTAAAGCTTCACTTGAGTGGTTTGAAAGGAAACACACGAATGGCTTAATCAAAGCCCAGACCTCAGTCCAATTGAGGATCTGTGGCATAACTTGATGACTGCTGTACACCAACACAACCCATCTACCTGGAAGGAGTTGGAGCAGTTTTGCTTTGTGGAATGGGCAAAAATCTCAGTGGCTAGATGTGCTAAGCTAATAAAGACATATCCCAAGAGACTTGCAGCTGTAATTGCAGCAAAAAGCAGCTCTACAAAGTGGGGGTGAATACCTATGCACACAAAAGATTTCTGTTTTTCTGTTGTCTTAATTATTGTTTGTGTCACAATAAAAATAATTGCATCTTTAAAGTGGTAGGCATGTTGTGTAAATCAAATAGTGCTAACCCTCAATAATCCATTTTAATTCAAGCTTGTATTGTGACAAAACAGGACAAACATCAAGGGGGATATATTTGCAAGGCACTGTCATTGACTCCTCGATGGCATGTATGTACTGTGCTATTTGCCTTAATTGTACGTTGCTTTGGACAAAAACATCAGCTAAATAAACTAAATGTTAATGCATCGTTGGATTGCCATGACTCAAACACTTATTGTGAATACAGTTGCAACAGGTCATTATTGTCATATCATCCACCACTAAGGTGTGCATTAACAACAGTGCAGAGAGATATCTGCTTTCATATAAAACATGAAACTATTACAAAATGTGAAAAGCTTTTTCTTTTTCTGAGATGTTTAGCTTTATGAAAGTTACAAAGCACAAATTAAATATTTTTTTTAAAACACTGACATCCACCAAATCACAAAAGTCTATTTTGTTTTGCTTTTTTACGATAATGATTATCCACTGTCCATTCCAAACCTGTGCAGCATTCAGTGTATATCAGTTTTAAAGACCTTTAAGCTGCTTTGCACACCATTTCCCCAGTGACACGTCCAGCCTAGCTGAGTCTGGCCTCAGATGGTGGTCCTTCATGAAATATATCTCTTGGTAAGAGGCTCCAGTTGGCTACCTGTCAGCCTGTTAAACTCCTTCAGGATGTGGTGTTCTTTCTGGAACATCTTATAATAATAAGGAAGTACTTTAACCACTTAGAGTGATGATTTCAGTATCTTTTTTACTGTTCTACTGCTTTCACAGAAGCATAGAAACTAAATATATGACTACATTTAAAACGTACCTTTATCCACTCTTCCTCTGTGTCATGTTTGTACCCGAGGAGATGACAGATTCCATGCGTGGTGACAATCTGTTATAAGTTAAAGTGAAACGTAAAGGCCTGGGAGATGATGTCTGAAATCTCAATGCATATGCACATTCATTTCTACATACAGTTATGGTGCTCTGGAAGTCCACTGGCGACCCGTTGCACTGCTGCATAATAAGCTCCACCCCCAGGAATATGTCCCCTAGATTGAGATCGTCATTGGTAAGATTGCTTGGCAACTTCCCATCTTGCAGGTCCTGCGCGTATAAGGACACAAACTAAGGTCTCTCACACGACATTATTCTAACAGGCGAGGAGGTGCACCAGCCATCGGCAGACAGATACTCGCCTCGTAGAAGGGAAAGCTTAGGACGTCCGTCGGCTTGTCGGCGCTCCTGTAAGTGCGGTTGATGCGCTGTATCCTGCGGTTGTCCACGCAGACCAGTCCCAGATCGAACCGCTGGATGCCCAGGATGCGCCGCAGAACCTCTGTATCCCGGCGTAGGCAGGCTCGACTCAGCGGAACAGCGCTTTGCAAGTTGCGGATCAGCAGGCTCATGGCGCTGCTTTTTAATCAGGATAATTGTTGTTCTCTTTTACTGACAAAAATATACAGAGTCGAGGGTTCGTCTAGACTCTAGAGACATTTAATCGAACTATATACATAATTTTATGGTTGCGCCTTATATCACTATACACACGCTTGTGATACTCTGTCGGACGCACTTTCCCATAATGCTCTGCAAACTGCTCGTATAACCTATAATACATAATTATTACAGGTGCTAATACAGATAGAGGGGAGCGCAGGGCTGTACCAGGGTAAACCTCTCAGCACATTTAAAGCGCCTTTAATTAACGTAAATAATCCCGTATGCAATCAGGTAGCCGCCAGCGAGCCCCGGAATGCGGCTCTTGACCCGGAAGCTGTTCATCCGCGCTGGAGAGACGGAGTTGGGAGGCACTTTGTTTTTGCATGAGCGTTATGACAGTTTGTATATTTCCGCAGATGTGATACAGGCGCGGATATAATCTCCCAGGCCTAAGGATGCCGAAATCTACCGCGCTATAAGGACCCTGTATCGACTTTTGACGGCCGTATTTTTGGGCTTTGGACTAGTTTTTGCACAATGAATCCGTCTGGGCTTTTCGGCAGACCACAAGGCGGAGCGTTTCAGTCTCCCGGCGCCCCGACCTCGGGGCTCTTTCCCTTCGGCCAGCAGAACGCCCCATTCGGACAGCCGCCTGCCTTCGGCCAGGGCGCCGTCCAGACCTCGCTCTTCAGCACATCGTCTGCCTTTGGGCAGACCGGTTCCCTTTTCGGGCAACCTGGCGGGACGGCGTCTGGACAGGCCCCGACCTTCGGCTTGCCCGGTTCTGGGAGTCAGACCCCGTCGTTTGGACAGAGCGACACCAGGTTCGCCCCCCCGGCCTCCTTCGGGCAGCCGGCCGGGGTCGGTCAGAGTTCTATTTTTAACCAAAGCTCGACTTTTCCCCAGACCTCTGCATTCGGACAGACCGCCGGATTCACTCAGCAGACGCCCGGCTTCGGCGGTTCTTCCGCTATCTCTCAGTCCTCCTCTGTTCCCCCCTCCTCGGGGTCTAGTCAGCCACTGAGATTCGGACAGCCGTCTGTAGGGTCGTCTTCGGTGTTCTCCCCGGGAAGCGTCCAGGGCCGCGGATTCAGCACTTCAGAGTTCAGCTTCAAGCCGTCAGACGCAGCTGTGTTCAAACCTATTTTCAGCGCCAGTCCTGAACCGGCTGGGTCCCAGGCTGTGTCCGAGTCCTTTGGTTCCAGCCCATCCAGCACCACTACTACCAGTATGGACAGCAGTGGGCCTGCTCCTGCTGCCTCTGGGTTCCTTTCTGGAACATTGGGTTTCAGCTTCTCACAGCCCATCGCAGTGTCCAGCAGCATCCTCCCCACTAAAGATGCACATCCCAGCACCACCCAGGAGTTCAGCTTCTCGGAACCAGCAGCACCCTCCGGAGGTGCTGGCAATGGCCTAGGTGGGGGGTCCTCACAGGCTGCCTCTGTCTCTAGCACCCCCCCTTACAGGTTCTCTGCCTCTAGCCTCCATGAGCCCCAGCCACCGTTTGGTGTTGTCAGGTTTGGTCCGCTAAAGCCCAAGGCAGAGGCTGGGGTTGTTTCGGTTGAGGTCCATGGGGGGGGCGGCGAGGTGGAGAATGCGGGGGAGGCAGCGGCTAAGGGTACCAAGCGGAAGGAGGAGATGGTGGAGCAAATATCAGAGGAGCCCCAAGTTGGTGCTGACTCCGCCCCCAGACACCCTCCCAAGAGGCCCCTAGTCCGGGGCCGGGGCCCCGTCAGCAGTATCTTTCGCAGTGCCTTGACCAGCATCCTGAAGACACCGGCCCCACAGACCCGGCGAGAGCCGAAGAGGATTGAGGAGCCACAGCCAGACTGGGGGGAGGCGGAGCACCAGGGTTCGATGCCACCGACTACCAGCCACTCACCCTCAACACCACCAAGGTCGCAGGCCCCCACCCGGGAGGTCCTTGAGAGGGCGGAGGAGTTGGGTGAGTACCCCTGTGGAGAAGCTCGTTGGGTTCGAAGTAGGGCTGGACGATTCATCGATTTTAAAGCACGTCGGACCCAGGGTTTAAAACTGCTTGTGAGAATAGTTTTACAAATTCATGCCGTGCTCCCTGTGTGACAGTCATTCTCACCAATCACAAGCGCCGTGCTTCTCGCGTGTCAGTCATGTTCACCAATCAGAAGTCGCCCAAGAAGGCGTATAAACAGCAAACACGTGAAACCCAAAGAAAATGTTACATTCGCTGTGCGGGAAAATACTGATTCCGCTACTGAGCTGTAAATTGCCTTCCTATTTCATGGTCCGAGATTGTTTCAGAAAGGTCCTATCATCAATAGAACTGGCGAGCTCCTTTTTGGGCGCTTTTCCACCACACAAAGTACGGTACTTTCGGTACTTTCGCTTTTCCATTGAATTCCGGTCGAGTACCAATACCGAAATCTCGAGTACCGAAAGTGCCAAACCAGTTGGGGTACTTCTTTGGTACTTCGGTACTTTGGGGTGGGACTTGCAAACGTATTTGCTGTCGATTGGTTATGCAAATAGCCTGCCGCTGAAACACAAAATACAACCGCCATCTTTTGAAATACACAGCGAGAAACAAAATAAAAAGCAGTAGAAACAAAAATATAAAAAAGTAAAATGGAAGGATGGACAAACGAGGAAACACAGGCTTTAATCGCCATATGGTCGGATGAACAGATCCAGTGGAATTTGGATGGCATGACTCGAAATAAAAAAGTTTTTGCCGTTCCGAGCAGTTCAGTTTCCGTTTCCCCTGTCGCGCGCTGATTTGTACACGGTTTCGCTGTTGTTTTCATGTCTTTTTATGAGGTAAACAAGCCATATATTAATTTTAAAACATCACATGCCTTTTGTATGTTTTTTGTTTTTACAGATAATAAATGAAATTACTTAATTCGCTGGATAGAGGTATTTCTTGATGAAAACGGTATAATATTGCTTATAAGACTATATTATGCGCGACGATCTACTGTATTCACATGTAATAATGTACCTGAGTGATTTTCAGACATTTCACATACCTCTTTGCTTTAATATTAGGGGAAACATTATTTCCTGATAGACAGGAGAAATATAGGGAAACTTAATTGCCCGGAACACCGTAATACCAAGCCGCTTGGAAGAAATGGGGCACACGCGAAACACCGAACAATGCCGCTTGAAAATCAAAAAACATAATTAAATAATTTGTTTGCTTTCAAAAGACTGAATTAGCAGTAAGCTAATTCTTACTGCTTTGATCGGCTTAGCCAAAGTAAGTGTACCTACGTAAACGTAATTGATGGCAGCATGATTTGGATTTTACTGAATGTTATACTGTGATAGAAGCTGACATAACAATAAACCGCATTTTCCAGCCTCAACTGTTAGTTTTAATTTTGGGCTGTCAGTCAGGGGCGGTCACTGATGATGTTATTTGGCGCCGGTACCATTTTTTACACCAGTGGAAAACAGACATGAAAGAAGTACCAAACTTTCGGCACTTTGTGGAAGTACCGAAAATACGGTACCTGGTGCTGTGGAAAAACGCCCTTAAACACCAGCTGCGATATACTTCAGCGTATCATACCTTTTGTTTTTGTTAATAGGCGATAGCATTAGGATACCGCTAACCCATCAAGATAACAATGAGACAGTAATTCTCACAGCAGCGGAGTCGGTGACCCCCAAAAAAGCCGTAAAAGCCATAATAGTCGTGTTTATGTCATATGTTTTTGTGCTTATTAATTTAAGTATTTCCAAAGATTAATCTTAATCCTGCAACAGTAATAAATATAAAATATAAAATCCTTGCTTTAACATAAATACTAAAAGAACAGATCGCTTTAATCGGTATTACATTTGGGTATGGGCATGCAGTCTTATTTAGAAAAAATACAAAAAGAGACTCATATAATGTTTATTCATTAGTTTTGTTTTTGTCCGAGTGACAAAGCAAGGGAATGATAAGCCGATTCAGTCAAACTGCCTTTTTCTTCTCATTTCAAATAACTTAAAATTAAATTCTTTGGTCAGCTGCATGGAGTGAAATTTTCTGTTCTGTTCTGCACACACGTTTACATGTATGTAATTTTTATTACCTTGTAAATAGTCTTTAGGGTAAATAGTCTAACATTTTTGATGCAGCTAATTTTAAGTTCAGAATGGAATATGGATTTGCCATAAGATTTCTTCCGTGAGAGTCTGAAAGAGTTTGCAACCCTGAATACGTACATTTTTTTTGTTTCACCTGAATTGATTTGTATAGAAAATAACCGTATACAGTTGTTAAAAAGCGGAAACTTCGACCAATATGAAATCACCAATAAAAGACTTCTATGTGTTGAACATTTTATAAAATGCATACTGTACGTTTTCAAATTTCCAGCTTTATGGTTTCAGGACTGAACAGCCACTCTTATGAACATTACGGCTTTTTGAGTGTTGTTAGCTGCTGTTATTAACACTAATAACACATTAGCGCAAACAAAAGGGCTGCATACACCGAAGTAGTTCTTGCTTGTTCATTGCCGTGGGAAAAGTCGGTTCTAGTGTTATTAGGAGGGTAATCAGCATTACCTGAAAGATCGCTATTTTTCTTTTTGCTGCAATTGTTTTCATTATTACTTTAT